GGGCCAAGCCAAAGATTAAAAATGTGAATTTAAACTTGCAAGATCAGGCTAGCCCGCAAGGAGATTATAGAGAGCAACATCATAGAGGAGAAACCTCCGAAGTCCTAGAAAATTCCCCGGGCCGAGCAACAATACAGGGAATTCGAGGAGAGGTCGCACAGTGTGACGTCACTGGCGCCAACCAGGACAGCCCACGATYTTTACCAGAACAGAGATCGAAGACAGTTTTCTTAGGACCTTCAAACACTGAATTAAATCCTGAAACAGGGTCAGAACAAATCCCTACTGGGATTTTCGGGCCCTTCCTGATAATACTATAGGTTTAATTTTGGGACGTAATAATTTAAAGGGAGCCATTGAGGTGATACCTGGTGTGATAGATTCAAATTTTAAAGGACAATTAAATGTTACTGTAAGGTCCAATTATGCCCTAAGGCTCACTCCAAARGATACATTTGCCCAATTAATATTATTGCCTTGTGACTCAGAAAGGCACCTGCTGGTAGATTCAGTTTCTAAACCACCGGACAGAGTATACTGGTCACAGTTAGTATGACAAGAACGCCCTTTACTAAAACTTAGAATTACTAATAAAAATTTCCTAGGAATAATAGACACAGGGGCTTATATCTCGGTATTATCTAGTAGGTTCTGGCCTAGGAACTGGCCTTTACATGTAGCCCCACGTTGGGCGCCAATTCCACCATGCGGCCAGCGCAATGGTTTCATTAATGAGGTTCTTGGCATAAAAGTTAGCTAGAAGAGATCGAAATAAACACACAGACTCAGTTACCTTATTTCTATTGCCAGGTCCGAGACGCTCCTCTGTCTCCTCGGACCTCTTATAGTGACAAAAGTAAAAAATGATAATCTGGTTTGGAACCTCACAGAAGCTGGAGTGTTTGGGGTTGGGACTGAATATCAAGAGAGCAAAGGGTGGGAGGCGTGCAGAGGAAAGACAAGKTCAAGGGGCAGGAGAGGCCTCCAGTGCCTACAGCTTCCAGCAGGCAGGTGCCACCAAGGACTGAACACAAGGCCTTGGGCTTAACAGGTGGGCAGGGACTCAACAGGTTAGAGAGGCTCAGCCCAGGACTCAGAATACGAGGTAGGTGAGGAGACAGTGGGCAAGAACATGGTGTGTTTTAAAGGTTGAAAACTCAGAAAGGAGGCAGGAAATCAGAGGCCCAGAGAGGGAAATATTTGTTTTTTTTTTCCGTCTGCTGTGACTACATACTTAGTGGCTTAAAATGACACAAACTTATTCTCCCACAGTTCTGGAGGTCAGAAAMCCAAAATGGGCCTCCGTGGGCTAAAATAAAAATGTCTGCAGGGCCAGACACAGCAGCACACTTCGGTGATCCCAGCGACTCTGGAGGATGAGGCAGGAGGATTGCAAGGATTGCCAGCCTCAGCAATTTAGCAAGACTCCCAGCAACTTAGCAAGATCCTGTCTCAAACAAACAAAAATTTTAAAAAGGACTGGGGATATAGCTCAGTGGTGAAGCATTCCTGGGTTCAAGCTTCAGTATCTGCTATCCCCCAAAATGTGGCCAGGGCTGATTCCTTCTGGAGGCTCTGCGGGGAGTGTTAGTCTTCTGTCACTGTGACAACACCCAAGATCATCAATTCTTAAGGAGGGAAGGTTTATTTTGGCTCATGGTTTCAGTCTATGGTCACTTGACCTTGTTGCTTTGGGCCTGTGGTGACACAGGACATCATGGGTGGGAGCATAGGGCAGAAGCGACTCACCTCATGGAAGTCAGGAAGCAAAAAGAGAGGGGAGAGGCAGGGTCCTGATACCTCCTTCAAGGGCACACCCCAATGGCCTACCTTTCTCCCATTAGGCCCCACCCTTTAAAGGGCCCACCACTCTGGATAGCACCACAGACTGACAACTAAATCATGGATTTGTTTTCTTGCCTTCTCCAGCCTCTAGAAGCTGCCTATATTCTTGGCTCATGGTCCTCCTCACTCTGAGGAGTTCCGTTGTCACATCTCCTCCCACTGTTTATCCTCACCTCCCTCCATTAGAGACCCTTCAGATTCGATGGGGCTCACCAGGAGAATCCAGAATCATCTCCTCAACTCAAGACCTTTATGTCATCTGCAGAGTCCATTTTGCCCCTAAGGTCACACAGTCACAGGTTCTGCAGATTAGGATATGAAGACCACTGGGGAGCTATTATTCTGATACTCCAGAGGGAGTTTTAAATGTCTGCTTTATTGTAATTGTCTGTGGTGAAGCCAACACAGTCGTGGACCACTGCCACTGAAGAGAGTGGGCTAGATTCCCAAGGGGGATGCACCACACCAAGGGCCACAGAGGGAGCCCCAGRCAGGGCCAGAACCCAGGAAAACCTGAGCAAGAGCTTCCACTGCATCTCTGCAGGATGCACTGGTGGGCCGGGAGAGCAGGTGTAGGCTGGGCAAGTTTGGATAACTGCAGCAAGCTCTGGGGGAAGGCAGTGTCTTGATTTCTTTGGCACTTGGCCTTGGGATGACCAGGGCAGGGGAGCATGGGCCTGGAATGTAAGAGCCCCTGATAAAGGCGAGTGGGTGTGAGCTCTGAAATGGTTGGACTCACATGAAACAGGAGCACAGATGTTCTTGGACATACTTTGGGGACAGGACAGTCCAAGGGGAGAGTCATCATTTAAAAACCTGTGTTCAGGGGCCAGGGTGGGGTAGGTAGTTCAGTTGTAGAGCACTTGCCTGGCCTGTGCCACACCCTGGGTTTCATCCCCAGCACCCCAACAAAACAAAACACCAAACAGGTGAACTTCACTGTAAACAACAAAAGCAATGGATGCGGACAATCCCAGCTAGTCAGGAGGTTAAGGCAGGARGATGGCAAGTTGGAGGCCATCCTGGGCAACTTAGAGACCCTGTCTCTAAATAAAATGAAAAGGGCTGGGGATGTAGCTCAGTGGTAGAGTGCTTGCTTTTGATTTTTTGGGGTGCTGGAGTCTCACATGTGTTAACCAAGCGCTCTACCATAAGGTTACACATTTAGCCCATCAATAATGGTGGAAACACATCAATAATGTCTATTTTAAGCCAAAAGATGCTGGTGGTTAGCCAGGCGCAGTAATATAGGCCTGTAATCCCAGCAGCTCAGGAGGCTGGGGCAGGAGGATTGAGTTCAAAGCCAGCCTCAGCAACTTATCGAGACCCTGTTTCTAAAAAAAATATTAAAAGGGGGGGAAAAAAAAAGAAAGATAACTGGCTCTTGCCTGTTTTAAACTAAAATAAAATGCATGGAACTACAATAAAATCAGGTGCTCCTACTAGACTTTTATTTAAATAATTTTAGGGCTGCGGATGTAGCTCGGTGGTACAGCCTTTGCCTAGCATGTTTGAGACTATTGAGTTCCATCTCCAACACCCAAACAAAACAAAAAACAGAATTTAATCTAAACAAATATTCTCTTTCTTTTTAATAGATCCCAATTTGGTTCCAGGATACTGCCCCCATTCCAGGTGAGGAGAATCACTACTTGTAGATGCCATCTTGGTGGACCCGAGGCATTCACTTGTGCCTCAGGGCCAATGGGACATAAGGAGAGAGGTGCCCRGAGCAGGAGCTTTAGGGACAGATTTCTCTCCCACTTACAATGCTCAGGACAGGAAGGGTGTGGCCCCTTCATTTGCCAGATGTTGGTACAGATATATGTGACATCAGAGCAGCTGCAGCTACTTTGGGGCCATGGGGGAGTTCCCCAATGGGGGATGGGAGAACCTGGTTCCCTGGCAACCCTGAGGCCTTCCTACCCTAGGACTTCTTTCATGGGGTAAGAGTGTGTATGTGTGTGTGTTTGCCTCTGTATTTTAATTTTTAAGCTCAGGTTTGTGTTTTCTCTCCTTGTGACTGAAGGGGTCCCTTGGGAAACCGGTAAACTTGATGCCAGGACTGTGTCTCTCCGGAATGACACCTGACTATGAAAGGAAGAGGACTGAGGCAGGTGACGTGCGGGGGCAATTTCAGAGGGAATGGTACCTACACATGGACAAAGAAGCATGTTTGTTCCACAGGGTGCACTGAAGGGTCTGGAACACAGCGCAGGCCAAGAAGCCCTGAGACGAGGACTGAAGGGTGGGCAGGGCCAACCTGCAGGGCCTCCCAGGTGAGGGTCCCAGCTAAGGGGCTGGGACCTGGTCCTGGGGTGGGCCAGCTCCAAATACCTCCCAGGGCAGCGTGGAGTGGGGCTGAGGGCCAAGAGGTCAGGGAGGAGGCTGGGGATGAGGTGGCTGGAAGCCAGGGTCCCAGGGAGAGTCCAGACTCTCAGTCCAGAGCTGACCAGCTATGCTGAGGGCCCTCCTGTCCCTCGGCATCCAGCCACACAGAGGACACTGAAGCATTGCTGGTTCCACCCAAAGTAGGACAAGGTCTTGAGGGACCAGCCAAGCTCCCAGAAACCAGAAGCAGCTGGGCCCAGAGTAGCAGGCAGGATTTCAGGCAGCTGTGGGGACACAGGAAGCCTGAGCAGCCTCAGCCACCATCTGGGAAGGCAGGCACAGAGCCAGTGCTCCTGGGAGCAAGCAGGGGCTTCCGCAAATTCAGCTGACCCAGTGGGTACCTGATTGGACACGTGAAGTGGTCTTGGGAAGGGACCCAAGGAAGCCCCAGGGAAGGGACAGGAAGAAAGAACCACAGACTCAGAAGCTAGGAAGCTGAGACCTGCAATATGGTAGATGTAGGGCCTGAGAAGCAATGCATGAAATGCCACCCTGCCCCCTCCTCCTGGAGGCCGTGTGAGCTGCTGACCCCGGAGAAGGCTGACTGAGACACTTCATCCAGCTGCTGTCAGCTGTCACGGTAGGAACTAGGAGGGCTGGAGCCCCTGAGGGATCATAGGTGCTGGGAATCCAGCTGGGGCACCTCGGGGGGCTGTTCAGGAATCTTCTTTTCAGAAGTATCAACATCCTTCTGGACACCAGCTGGAGCTGGGACAGGGACATCACCTGGAAATGGAGGAGGAACCCAGTCTTAACCCAGGAGTCCCAGCTCTCCTCCCTTAGGAGTCCAGGCCCAGGCCCTCCTCCCTGGGCCCAGGACTGCACCTGTGTCGGGGTGGAACTTGAGCTCTCCTTCGGGGTTGGCGGGGGGTGTGTTACGGGCCTCCTGCTCCTGCTTCCTTTGCTCCATGTGCAGAACGGCCTGCAGGAGGGTGACCACAAGGAGGTCATGACACTGGCATTCCAAGTTGCACAGGCCTCAGTCCCCAAACTGGGACTCCACGGCAACCTGTTACATGGTCTTGGGCTAGTCCCCTTTCCATGAGCCTCAGTTTTTCTCCATCACTGAGAGGTAGGCTTAATCCTCATTAAGAATCCAGTTCTCTTCTGTCATGGCTTGAGTCCTGCCTTGGGACAGCAAAGCCCTCGCTGAATCCTTCACTTCCCTCCCTGGCCTTTCCCCCTCTCACATTCCCACTGCCCTCATCTAACATGGCAGGCACAGTACAGCCAGGAAACAACTGCCCTTACTTAAGATGGCAGCTGAGGACTACCAGTAATTAACATGGTGAACACAGGCCTTCCCAGTCTCTGGGCACCCATGTGGACAAGGACAGGAGCCACCAAAGACCCAGAGGATGGGCCCAGCTTCCCTAGCCAGTCACCTGCTGCAACTCTCTCTTCTGGGCTTCCAGGCGGCCCTGAGACCGCCCTAGGGCCTCTGCCTCCTGGCTGAGGCGCTGGGCCTTGGCATTCAGCTCTGCCTCCCGGGCGGCCAGCTCCTCCTCGAAACGCCTCAGCTCTTCCTCTGTGTAGGCTGGGTGCATCTCCACTGTCTACAGGGCCCAAGACAAGGGCCATGAATGGGGGCAACTCCAGCCGTGGCCCACCCATGTTGGAGAGGGCTCTGCCCAAGGAGGTTTAGAGAAGGCTGGGAGGCGGTGGCCTTGCGCGTGGGCAAAAGAGACCTAGGCGGGGGTACAGGATGGGATAAAGGGCTAGGGAGAAGGGAGAACAGAGACCGAGAAATATGGGACACAGACCCAGAGAGAGGGGACAAAGACGCAGAGTATGAGAAGTAGCCAGTCCTTGAAAGAAAAGTTAGGACTGGGAAAACAAACTATTTAGGCTYCAGATTGTTCCCAATGTCCTTACCTCCCATCCCTCCCCAGTGTCCCCATACTCCTTCCTCTGTGTGGACGCAAGGAACTCCTCCAGGGTCACTAGCCGGTCTTGGTTCGTGTCCACCTGGGGAACCAGAACAGGGTAAGGGCCAAGAGCTGAGGCCACTGCCCTCCCGGGCCCATGTCCCTCCTCTCACATTCTTCATCACATGCTCCCGCATGCGCAGCCGCTCCTCCTCCATCTCCCGCATGTCGTCCTCCTCATTCTTCGGGTCATACACCTTCTCCAGCTGCAGAGTTGTGTGAGAATTGGGAAGTCATGAGAGGTCCAAGGTAACCCTCCTCCAGATACACCCAAACAACTTCAACTCCCAGCAGGCCTTGGGGCTCCCTGATACTCCTGGCAGCCTCTCATTGCCTTAGAGGCTGCTGGGAGTTGTAGTCTTCCCTTAACTCCCACCCAGGAGGACTGAAGGGGACCACAAGGAGCCCTGAGAGGACATGTGGCTGATGTGGATGTTCCCTCTGCCCACAGCTTTAGGACACTCACCTCCTTGGTGAACAGGGCCTCTAGCTCCTGCTCATCCAGGACACCATCACTGTTGATATCTGAGGGGGAGAAGACAGCGAGGTGTCTAGTGGGTGGAGAACAGGGTGGTCTGATTCCCAAGGGACAAACTGGTAAAGAAATTTGGGGCTCATGTGGGGTGTATTATCAGGGGACAGGTAATGAGGGGTCTCTGGCAGTGGAATGGTGGCCTGCAGGCTTCAGCACCCCTGCTGGCCCATTGCCAGGACGGCCCATTCCCTCACAACCAGGGTCCCAAGAATGGAGGCGAGTTGAGCTCACTRTCACACGGGACTCTCTCTGGACCTAGCACCCAGTATTTCAGACATGGGTCAGCTCCTTTGTCCAGGATCCGGGGGGTACAGGGACCTCTGCCTCCCAGGGAACCGGACCAGTGCTGACTCCAGGTGCCAGGGGACTCACCCCGCTGCAGGGCTCAGGCTGCCACACTCTCTGTCTCCGCCTCTCCCTTTTCTGCTCACTCCTGATCATCAACCTGTTCCTGCCGAGGTGACCCAGAACCCTAATCTTGCAAATCCAATGGTTTTGTATTGTCCTTGACTCTTCCCTGGGTTTCCAGAATGTCCTTGAGTCCTTTCAGGCTGACCCAAGTCTCCGGCTCTTTTTTTTTTTTTTGGTGGTGCTGGGGACTGAAGCCAGGACCTTGGGCATGTGAGTCAAGCTCTCTACCAACTGAGGAATGTCCCCAGCACATCCAGGTTACTTCTTTTGCTGACCTCTACATATCTGTGCACCCCAGGGCTATGGCTTGGGGGCCACTTCTTTACCTACACTGGATCTGTGCTACCTAATGTGGGAGTCACCAGCCACATGGGCTATTTAAATTTAAAATATTAAGATTTAATAAGGGTTGGGGATGTGGCTCAAGCGATAACGTGCTCGCCTGGCATGCGCGGGGCGCTGGGTTCAATCCTCAGCACCACATAAAATAAAAATAAAGATGTTATGTCCACCGAAAACTGAAAAATAAATATTAAAAAATTCTCTCTCTCTTTTCTTAAAAAAAGAAAAAAAAATATTTAATAAGAGGGTTGTAGCTGTGGCTCAGTGGCAGAGCACTTGCCTAGCATGTGTGAGGCACTGGGTTTGATCCTCAGCACCACATAAAAATTTAAAAAATAAAATAAAATAAAGGTATTGTGTCCATCTACAACTAAAAATATCTTTTAAAAAATTTAATAAGATTTAGGGCTGGGGATACAGCTCAGTGGTAGAGCACCTCTGTGTTCAAGCCCCAGTACCTAAAAATAAAAGATTCAATAAGATTTAAACTTYAGTTTATCAGTCCCACTTGGTACATGGCAAGACTCAATAGCCGTAGGCGGCTGGTGGCTGTCATACTGGACAGGCAAACACAGGACATTTTCCATCACAGAGTTCTACTGGCCAGGACCTTCCCTAGATGGGCTCTTCTGGTTACTCAGATTTCAGARTCATCCAATAATGGCCTCCACTCTTGAATACACAACTGTCTACAATCCCTCTCCACCTGGATGTGTAACAGACATTCTAATTTAACCCGAGCACACCCACCTTCCCTAGCAATCACATCCTTTCGTCCCGTGTCTGGAAGGGAACTGGAAGGTTCCTCAAAGTTGCTTGGGACAAACACCTTGGAGCTACCCTTGACCCTCTAACAGCTAATCCAATCCTATCAGCTGACTTTCAAGGTGATTCCAGACTCTAAGCACTTCTCCCTACTTCCCATGTTCCAGCTGCCAGTATTTCACCCTCCTCACTGAACTCTTGACTTTGGCCCTTGTCCCTATAGTCTGAGCTCAACACAGTACCCAGGTGGATAATAAAATCCAAGTTCCTTTCCTTGCCACAGGGTCCCTGGTGGCTGCTACTGCCCCTGCAATCACTCTTCTTCATGCATTCTGCTCCCACAGCCTGGAAACCCACAAGTTCATTCTTCCTTATGTGCGCTTGCTTTTCCCCACCTAAAATGTTCTTCCCTCATACTAGTAGGAAATAGACCAGAGACCCTGTGCTTAATAGAATAAAAAGTAGGCCCAACTCTTCATCATGTCAGCTCAGGCCTGATTTCCTTAACAAGACTCCTACTAAAGTGCAAGAAATAAATTAAAGAATCAATAAATGTGATGGATTCAAGCTGAAAAGCTTCCTAGCAAAATAATAATAATAATAATAACATGAAGACAGAGCCTATAGAATAGGAGAAAATCTTTACTACATGCATATCAGATAGAGCAAAAATCTCCTATATGAAGAACTTAAAAAACTTTAACACCAAACAACAACAACAACAACAACAAATCAATAAATGGGGCTAAGGATCTGAGCAGACACTTCACAGAAAATACACAATAGATCAACAAATACGTGAAGAAATGTTCAAATCTCTGGCCATTAAAGAAATGCAAATCAAAACTATCCCTAAATTTCATCTCACTCTAGTCACAATGGCAATTATCAACAATACAAGCATCAATAAGTGTTGGCGAGGATGTGGGGGGAAAAGTACACTCATTCATTGCTGGTGGGACTGCAAATTGGTGCAACTACTCTGGAAAGCAGTGTGGAGATTCCTTAGAAAACCTGGAGTGGAACCACCATTTGACCTAGCTATCCCACTCCGCAGTCTATACCGAAAGGACTTAAAATCAGCATACTATCGGTGAAGGCGATCCCCCACTCACTGTCTTGACAGGGTCACAGTGAGAAAAAGTGCTGGCAAAGCCACGCTGGTTGGTGGGAAACCGAAACCATAAGACCCTTTTTTATGTAATTGGGACTTTTCATTTTCATGCTCATGTTCCTGACAGGAGGCATGAGTATGCTAAATGCCAAACAAATTAAATTTCAGATGGCTAGAACAGAACAGGTAGTTCATGCCTTGGAGGCTGTTCTACTACCCCTCAGCATATCAAGGACAAAGTAGAAGGCTGTTCTTCTATCTCAGCACATTGAGGACAAACCTGATAATGGACAATTATATCAACTAGAACCCAAGCCCATATTTCCGGCCTCTAATCTGATCATTATGCTTATTTTACAAAGTTCACCACATGTAGTCTCATTCTTGATTGAGGAAAGTTATATTATACACTTAGGAAAGTTAAAACATATAAAGATATATTCTTCTCTTTTTATAAACCCTTTTTTACTTTACATAGGGATATATGATGAGCATAGTTAATATTGGTGGAAAGTGGATTGATGTTTAGAACTTACTTTCTATTGAGAAAGACTATAAAGACATGAGAACTAGTGCACCTTGACTGAGGAACAAAGAAACTCTGAGAAAGCAGCTCAACCAGTTTTATGAGAATAAATTTAGGAATTAATTAAAATAGCTTTATAAGACAGTTTTAGAATAATGTTAGAAATATTATTTTATTTAGATTCTTAAGTTTAGAAATTCTTAAGTTTTTAGTTGTATGGGTTTCTGATATGTTTTAAGAATGATTATAAACTTTAGGATGTTTTAAGTATAAGATTTAAGGGGACTTTTTTAGATGGGAATTTTAGATTAGAAATAAAGTACAAGTGTACTTTAAACTTAAAGGTTAATGATGGGTTAGGAGACTTAGAGTCTGGTTAYGTAGTTTGGCATTAGTTAATAAGAAAATAGCATATCTTGGGGAAAATAGTAAATCTTGGGAAAATCTGAAAAATGTAAATTAGTGACGTATTTTATTAATGATTCTGTACTTTTAATAATTAAATAACTAAAGGTCATATCATGGAAAAATGTAAATTAATGTTACATTTTTTGTACCCCCAATCATGGTTAAGGAAATGTCATGTCTTGGCAAAGTTTTAAATTATATAATCAATGACATATTCTGAATCTATAATGATGAGAAACACTGTAATAAAAGATGACCCAGAGAAAGCTGCATTAGCTCTCGCTCTGGAGATTGCTCCAACGGAACGACTCCTGTCTCATCTTTTCGCCGACACCACTCATCCTTCAGGACTCCCTGGATCCCCCTAGGGCAGGACCCCAGCATACTATGGTGACCCGGCCACATCAATGTTTATAGCAGCTCAATTCACAACAGCTAAACTGTGGAACCAATCTAGATGTCCTTCAATAGAAGAATGGATAAAAAAACTGTGGTAGGTCTGGGGTTAAGGCTCAGCAGTAGAGCGCTTGCTCGCCTAGCCTGTGTGAGGCCCTGGGTTCCATCCTCAGCACCACATATAAATAAATAAAAAAAGGTATTGTGTCCAACTACAACTACAACTAAATGAATATTTTTAAAAAAGAAACTGTGGTATACATACACAGTGAAATGTTACTCAGCCTTAAAAAAGAATAAAATTATGGCATTTGCAGGTAAATGGATGGAACTGGAGAATATCATGCTAAGCAAAGCAAGCCAATCCCAGAAAACCAAAGACCAAATGTTTTCTCTGATAAATGGATGCCGATCCATAATGRGGTGGGAGGAAGAATGGAGGAACTCTGGATTGGACAGAGGATAGTAAGGGGAGGGTCGGGGGGTGTAGGGATGGGAAAGATGGTGGAATGAGAMGGACATTATTACCCTATGTACAGGTATGATTGCATGATCGGTGTGACTGCATYGTGTACCACCAGAGAAATGAAAAGTTGGGCTCCATTTGTGTAAAAAAGAAATAAAATGTTCTTTCTCCAAACAGCCACAAAGTGCAACTTCATGGAGGCTGCTGTTCAAAAGTGCTCTCTTGAGGGGCTGGGGATGTGGCTCAAGCGGTAGCGCGCTCGCCTGGCATGCGTGCGGCCCRGGTTCGATCCTCAGCACCACATACAAACAAAGATGTTGTGTCCGCCGAAAACTAAAAAATAAACATTAAAAAAATCCTCTCTAAAAAAAAAAAAAAAAAAAAAAAAAAAGTGCTCTCTTGAGCTGGGCCACCCAATCCAGCAGCTACTAGTCACGTGGGGCAACCTCAATTGGTATCAAGTGCCATGAAAAAGTAAGTAAAATAAACCAGTCACAAAAAAGGCAAATTCGGGATGATTCTGGTCAGATGAGGAACCTAGAACATCAAAGAGACTCACAGAGACAGAGAGCAGGAGCCTGGCTGCCAGGGCTGGAGTGAGGGCTAAACAGGCCGCTGTTTGATGGGTACAGAATTTCAGCTTTGCCAGATGAAAAGATTCCCAGGAACTGGTTGCACAACAATGTAAATATACTTTATGCTACTGAACTGTATGTACATTTAAAAATGATTAACATGGTAAATTAGTATGGTGAAAAAAAAAATTTTTTTTGTCCTGGGGATTAAACCCAGGGATACTTCACCACTGAGCTACATCCCCAGCCCTTTTGATTTTTTTTACTTTGAGACAGGGTCTCAGTGAGTTGCCCAGGCTGGCTTTGTGATCATCCTGCCTCAGCCTCCTAAATCACTGGGATTACCAGTATGTTACCAGTATGTGCCACCATGCCTAGCCAAAAAAAAAAAAAAAAACCCTTTTCAAATTAAAAGATTTCATTTATCAAAACTGAAAAAAACAAAAATTCAGTCCTTCCATCAGTAGTCCGACTGCTCGGTAGCCACGTGGACTGCTGGCCAACATGCTCGACAGCACAGCTGTGGGTCYCCTAAGAAAGTTCTACTGGGATACTGCTCATTTCACCTGATACAAGTTATCTACAGAGGCTACTGAGGTCCCTTAACCCAGCTGTCTTCTCTCCATCTCCTGAGACTCTTGCAGAACTCATTTCAGTGATGCTGAGATACCTTTTCCTCTTGTGCATTTTATCATCCCTAAAGTTGAGATGTATCTTATGGACATTATTTCAGTTTAATTGGTCTCTGTAAAACCCTAGTGCCTCTCACTCAACTGTCATGAGTCACTCAAATACAGTGTGATCTGTCTGCCAAGTGGCTGTGATGGGAGGAACTCGTTCAGTGTTATCCACAGGGTCTTAACCAAGCGTGGTGCTCACCAGGGAGCCKAGTCAATATCTGCCACATGAAGAAACCAGGTCCTGCCAAGCTCTGCTGATGAGCTACAGCCTCTGGGGCAGGACCCAGGCACACCTGAGGGAGTCTGGCAACCCAGGCCCTGTGCTGCTGATCCGCCACAGAAATGTGACTCTCTAGGGTCTGGGGGCCTGGTTAGTAAGGAGCAGCCCAGCCTAGGTGACAGGACTCCCAGAGAGGATCAGGGCTTCTGGGCTGCTGGGGGAGGGCCACCCAGGCCTGGTCTGGGATGTTCCAAAATCGAGGCACAGCCCTTCCAGGGAAGATCCTCCCGCTAGCAAGAGGGAGGGCCAGGGCCTTTGGGTCAACCAGGGGGGATKAGTTCAGGCCTCTCAGGTCGGATGAAGCCCCACGGGAATGGGAGACCCCTCTTGGCATTCAGGCTGGGTCAGAGACTCCAGGTGCAGCCCGGGGCTGGGACACCCTCCCCACCTTACCATGCAGTATGAAGAAGGTCTTGGGGTTAAACCTGTTGGGGTCCAGTCCGTCCAGCTCCTCCCATACCTCCTTCAACTGGGCTTGGCTGCCCTGTGGAGGGGAGGGGACAGGAAGCAGCTCATGAGCAAGGACTCTGGGTGTCATGCATGTGTAAGAACTAGAGAACTCCTTACCCCACCCAATAAACACTCCCCTCAAGCAAAAAGCAAATCAGGAAAACTACAATTCCCAGCAGCCCCTAGGACGGCTGGACACAGGCTCAGGGCTCTGGGAGGTTATAGTCCTTCAAGGACTCCACAGCCCTGTGGTGCTCTGGGAGCCGCCTTACAGGCACGTTGACTTTGGGGTGCTCCCGGTGCCGCCGCTGCTGCTCTTCCAGCTTCCTCTCCGCCTCCTTCCGCTGTTCTTCACCCAGTGACTCCAGGTAGCGGCGCCTCTCATGTTCCTTGAGCATCTCGTAGCGTTTGAACTCCTCGTGATGGGCGGCGTCATACTGGGCAAGGTCCCGGGTGGCCTGTGCCAAGAGAAGGTGACTTACCTCTCACCAGAATCTAGCCTCCGAGGGACAGGCCCTTGCTGGGAACCTGGCCAGGAGCGGCTCCAACTTCCACCTGTGCCAAGACTCATGACCTGATCTCACTCTCTGGCTCTCGGCGGCTGCTCCTGCCCTAGAATGCACTCTGCTCTGTTTGTTCAGAAGAGAGTACACAGTTGTGCAACAGTAACTTTGATCTGCCTCTTTCTAGTCCTCTACCATCTTGAGTTCTTGGAGAAATAAGTGAGGCACAACATRCTAGGTGGACCTGATACGGAAAGCAGTGTAGCTGGATGGTCAACACCAGGAGGTCTTTCATTACTCTGCCCAGGGTTCAAATTCAGGGTCTAGGGCTGGGGATGTGGCTCAAGAGGTAGCGCGCTCGCCTGGCATGCGTGCGACCGGGGTTCGATCCTCAGCACCACATACCAACAAAGATGTTGTGTCCGCCAAGAACTAAAAAATAAATAAAATTCTCTCTCTCTCTCCCTCTCTCTCCTCTCTCACTCTCTTTAAAAAAAAACAAAAACAAAAACAAAAACAAAAAAAAACAAACAAATTCAGGGTCTACTATGTGATCAAATCTCACTAGCTATATCATTTTTTTTTTTTTTAATCAGAGATTGAGCCACACAGGAGCACTTAACCACGGAACCCCCTCCCCAGCCCCTTTATTATTTTATTTTGAGAAAGGGTCTTACTAAGTTACTTGGGGCCTTGCTAAGTTGCTGAGGCTGGCTTTGAAATTGCAATCTTCCTGCCTCAGCCTCCTGAGCCTCTGGGATTACAGGCATGCACCACCGTGCCTGGCAAATTTGTGTTGTTTTAAGCCACCAAGTCTCATGACTKGTTGTTACAGTAGCTCCAAGAAACACCCTGTGAGACTCTATTGATGTCTAACCCACAGAACTCTAAGGGTCATGCAAAAGCCAGGTGTGGTGATGTACACCTCTGGCCCCAGATACTTGGAAGGTTGAGGTGAGGACTGCTTGAACCCAGGAGTTAAATATCAGCTTAGGCAACACACAGCCAGACTCCAGCTCTAAGGCAGGAGTGCGTATCTTGGTGAGACCCTGTCTCAAAATTAAAAAAACAAAAGGGGGGCTGGGATTGTGGCTCAGTGGTAGGGCACTCGCCTAGTACATGCAAGGTCCTGGGTTTGATCCTCGCACCACATAAAAATAAACAAATAAAATAAAATAAAGGTATTGTATTTCAACTACAACTAAAAAAAAAATTAAAAAAAGAAAGAAAGAAAGAAAGATGGGGACTTGGGTTGTGGCTCAATGGTAGAGCACTYGCCTGGAATGTGTGAAGCATTGGGTTCAATTATTACCACCATAAATAAATAAATAAATGGACGTTAATTGACAAATATATATACATACATACAAATATATATATATATATAAAAGAAAGAAAAAAGAAGGTAATGAATCATGCTGTTTTAAACTACTAAGTTTGTGACCATTTGTTATAGCAGCAAGAGGAAACTAAACATAGCTACTGTGTGTGGACAGACTGCACAGAGGGATTCTCAACCTGGAGAGCTGTACCTCTAGGGGATAGTTGTTAATGTCAGGAAACATTTTAGCTTGTCACAACTAGGGGAGATCTATACGCATCTATTCAGAGGAGTCTAGGGCTGCTGCAAACAGCCTACAATGCTCAGGACAGGCCCCAACACACAGCTATAGGTGGTGGAGGGCAGAAGCAGAGATCCCCGTGAAAGAGCTTCTATGACTTGAGAAGGACGGGGGAGAGACAGTGGGACTAGAGAGAAGTGGACAGTTTCTGGAATGTTTCAGAAATAAGTGGAAAGAAATTTTTAAGGCAATTTGGGGGAGTATCTCAGTGGCACAGCATTTGCCTACTGTGTAAAGTCCTGAGTCTGAACCCAGCGCTGCAAAAAACACAATCCATGGATCAGTGAAATGTCTATTAATTATCCTTATGACCACTAGGTGGAGCACAAGAGGAACCAGAAAAGCCGGCCTGAGCCTGGCAGGTCCAGACAGAGGAGCAGGATCTCCCCGGGGAGAAGGTCCATGAGAGGGGAGCCCAGGGCGGGCCAGGCAGCCTCTTCCACTCCCAAGGCCTCTCCTTGGCCTTCCCCATAAGATAGGGCTGTGGACCTCACTTTTTAGGTGCAGACTCTTGGTTCCTATGGCCACTGTAACAGGGCACTGCTGCTCTTTTATTTGGTACTGGGCCTGGAACCCAGGGGCACTCTACCACTGAGCTACATGCCCAGCCCTTTTGATTTCTTGCAAAGTTGCCCAGACCAGCCTCAACCTTGCAATCCTCCTGCCTATGCCACCAGAGTCGCTGGGATTACATGAGAATGAGCGCCACCACGAATTGCCACAACTTAATGACTTAAAGTGATACAAACTGATCACTTTACCSGGGAGGCCAGGTGTGAAATTAGTTTCACTAGGTGGAAATGAAGGTGTTGGTGGGACAGGTTCCCTCTACAGATCCTGAGGGAGAATCCTCTTCACTTCTCCGGCTTCTAGAGCTGGTTCTGTGGCCTGTGGACCCTTCCCCATCGCAAAGCCAGTGCTGTGGCATCTGGTCCAGCTGTCCCTCTGCCCTTCTGTTTCTATTTTTTCTTTTTGTGGCACTAGGGATGGAACCCAGGGCCTCATGTGTGCCAGGCAAACTCTCCACCACTGAGCCACGCGGYGCCCAGCCCGGCCTTCGGTTTCTGTGATCGGATCTGCCTCTGCTTCCTGAGGCCCACCTGGGTGACGCAGGATCAGGGCCTCATCTCAAGGTCCTTCATTATTCACACCTTCCAAAGTCCCTTTGGCTATGTCAGGTAAAAGTCACGGGTTCTGGGCTTAGGACATGGACATCTTGGGAGGGCACCGTTGGGCCCGCCATGAGATCACAGAGAGGACAGCCCCTACCCCAAACCACACAGGAAGGACAAGGCCAGGGGGCAGTAGAGTGAGGCCCGAGGGAGGCGAAGCCCACCCTGCCTCCACCTGCCGCTCTCCTGTGTGGACCTGGGGAGGGCGTCTGGAGACCAGCACCCTGCCAGCTTCCCGCGTGCCCTTCAGCTCGGCCCCTCCGTACCGTCTGGATCAGCAGCTCCAGGTCTCGGGCCTCGAACGTGTGCTGGTTCTGCGGGTCCAGGTGTTCAAACTGCTTCAGGAGATTCAGGTGATCCACCTGCACATCTGGATGAAGGAAGATTCAAAACAACCCATGGATTCAGGTGAGGTGGCACACGCCCGTCATCCCAGCTACGTGCAAGCAGGGCTGAGGCAGGAGGATCTGGAGTCCAAAGCCAGCCTCAGCAAAAGCAAGGTGCTAAGCAACTCAGTGAGACCTTGTCTCTAATAAAAAACACAAAGGGCTGGGAAGGTGGCTCAGTGGTCAAGAGCCCCTGAGTTCAATCCCTGGTACCAAAAAAAAAAAAAAAAAAAAAAAAAAGGGTTGGGGATGTGGCTCAGTCCATGAGGTCCTGGGGTAAGTCCCTCGTATAGCAAAAAACAAAAAATAAAACAAACAGGACATCTTTTCTTTCAGAAACCCCATCTTTGGCCAGGCGTGCTCTAAGGGAAGTGACAGTGCAGAGAACAAAGGACCATCAACTGGGCCTAGGGCCATCAGGGTGGGCATCCTGGAGGAGGTGATCCCATCACTGAGTCTGATGCTTAAAATGACACTATGACAATAACTATGATAATAACTGACATGTACAGAGTGCTGACCACCTGCCAGGCCCTGCTCTACGCACATAAACTATGTAAGTCACTGACTTTTCACGACAAACTGATGAGGAGGGTTCTAGGYTTAACACCATTTTATAGATGTGAAAACTGAGGCCCAGAGAGAGGATGTGACTGCGGACACAGCAGGAAACAGTCAATCTGTCCCTGGGCATACATCCARCCTAGAAAGACGAAGAGCAGGTGACCGTGGAATGACCACATGACCAGAGAGGACACTAACAAATGAGGGGAGGTTCTTCTGAGCAGGGCAGCCAGGGCATGTTGGTGATGGGGCTGAAGTWACATTCCCAATGAGTCCAAAGCTCAGCCATGCAAAGAGTTCTAAGGAAGCATGTCACGGGGAGGGGGCTGAACAGGCAAAGGTCCTAAGGTGAGAAAAGCCCATCACTCTCCATCATTTACCAAAGATGCTGGTGCAAGAAAGGCCGGCAGGGGCCCACGTCAATGGGGGGGAGGGGGGCTGGGGCGGGCCTGGCCCCCCAGCAGGATTTGGACCAGGAACTTGAGTCCCGGGAACTTGGGGAGCCTCCGTGCTGGGATACCTGTGACATCTGTGACCTTACACGTCAAACGGCCTCAGACTGTTACCCTCCCTCAAATGGGGAGTACTCCCGGATCATCAGCAGGAGCGCTAAACCCACGGCTCCTCTGAGAGCCCCCTAGAAGGCGATGCGCGGCTGGCTCTGCGATGGCGGAAGGGGCAGTGGCCAAGAAGTGCAACCCTGGAAGCTGCAAAGGGCAAGGGGGTCCCCTGAGAGCCCCCAGGGCCTTGCTCAACCTCAACCCCCGTCCAGGGAGACCGGTTTCCAGCTTCTCGTCTCCAGGATGGTAAGACAAGGCCCTGTCTCAAAGTAAAAAAATAAAAAGGGCTGCTTCAAGYCCCCACGTGCTATGGTCTGGACATCTCTGTCCCCACATTCATAAGCTGAAACTCCCAGTGAGGGTGTTGAGGAGGGGCCTCGAGGGCTRTGTCCTCATGAGTGCACACATGAGCCTGGGGAGCCTGGTGGCCCTTCTGCTACGTCAGGGACACAGCAGTGCCACCTGTGAGGAATGAGCCCTCCGCAGACGTCGTCGGGCTGTGGGTGCCTTGATCTTGGACTTCCCAGCCCCCSGCTCTGTGAGAAATAAATTGACACATGAAAGAAAGCCGTGGTACTCCCCCGAGTGGTCAGAGGCATCTAATGCCTGTTAGCTGGCTCCCAGGGGCCACTCTGTGGAAATCAGGGCCCAGGGAACCAGCCCCAGGAGGAGAGGACGGCAGCCGGACCCRGGGCAGCAATGGAGAAGAGGAAGGGGCAGATTTGGGCTTTTTTTCCTTTTGGCCCTGGGATTGAACCCAGGGGTGCTCTCCCACTGAGCCACGTCCCCAGCCCTTTTTATTTTTTACTTTGAARACAGGGCCTTGCTGAGTTGCTGAGGCTGGCCTCAAACCTGCAAACCCCCTGCCTCACTGCGATTACAGGCCTGCGCCGCTGGACCAGCTCCAGATTTGGGACATTTTGAGTCGTGCTTAAAGGAACAACAACAATAAGAAAAAAATGCACAGCACCACTACAACGCTTGGCACACAGCAAAGCTGGCAGCAGCCAACACACAGGACAGATTTCTCTTCTTAGAGATAAGGGACCTCTGAATTTACCSGAGACTGAAACTGCAACCCTTAAGCAGCAGGCCAGACGGACGGTAGGAACRGCACCACCACAGGCTCCAGACCATGCCCGTCCGTCTGTTCACCTTACAGACCCTGCGCCCAGCCCAGGACCGGCCCACAGGAGGGCTCAGCACCTTTGGTCCATAGGTAGAAGGAGTCGGATGATGGACAGCAAAGCAAAGCCTCCCGTCTACCCGGCATCCCCGTCAATGGCCAGGGTCCCCGAGCTGCGCCATCAGCACCTCACAGGGTGTCAGGAGATGAAAGGAGAAGCTGCAGGGGAACCTCAGTAAAGGTGGCACCTTCCTACACCAAGGAAGCACTGGGATGAGACCTGCCCCGGGAGACACCAGAACATGTCACAAAGCCACGGGGAGGAAGACAGAATGGTTCATGTGGCCAAAAGGAACAAGCACCTCCATCATCTSTCCATCAGCTGGTGAGGGGCCAAACGAAATATCCAGAAAACCAACATTATCCAACCCTAAATAGGGATGGGACCACGCAGGTGAYGCTGCTGCAGAGGGACAGAAGCCGATACAAAAAGCCACATAGGTACAACTTTACTCAGTGCCTCCTGTCCCCAAACACCCGCTCCCTTGTCAGACTGGACAGAGTCCAGAAGAGGCGAATCCTCAGAGGCAGGAAGCCAGGGAGCAGCCGTCAGGGGAGAGGAGGGAGGTGGAGCTCAAGGAACTGGGTGATGAAAATATTCCAAAAGTGACTGGCGATTGTTGCCACATACYCGGGAATAATTGCATGGCACGTGCGTCCTATTTCAACAGAGGAATTTAAAAAGAAAGAGCACGGGGCTGGGGCTGGGGCTAAGTGGAAGAGCGYTTGCCTAGTATATGTAAAGCCCTGGGTTCGATTCCAGGCACCACATTAAAAATAAATAAATGAAATAAAGGTATAGTGTCCATCCTCAACTAAAAAGTATTAAAGTAAGAAAGAAAAGAGCGAGCGCGGTCCAGGCACATACTGCAGCAAACCCCGTGTGGCATCGGGACACAGGAGGGGATCTTGGAATCTAAGCTGGCCCAGTGCGTTAAGAAATTATTGTTATTATTTTTAAAAAGCTGAATAAATAAACTGAAATACAGCCCCAGTCCTTCTGCCATGTAAGGACCCAGTAAAAAGCGCCACCTATGAAGCCCAGGACGGCTCCCACCTGACCTCAGATCTGCTGCCGCCTCGAGCTCAGACTTCTCAGCCTCCAGAATGGGGAGCATCAAGTTATTCCACTTGTTAAARGTATGTGTGTTCCCAGAGGCTCCGGAGGCTGAGGCAGGAGGATCGAGAATTCAAAGCCAGCCTCAGCAGAAGGGAGTGCTAAGCAGCTCAGCGAGACCTGTCTCTAAATAAAATGCAAAATAGGGCTGGGGATGGGGCTCAGTGGTCGAGTGCCCGAGTTCAATCCCTAGTACCACCACCCGCCCGCCCCCGCTGCAAAAAAAAAATGTGTGTGTGTGTGTGTTAGTCTCTGATATACACACTAAGAAATTAGAATCTTTCTAGGGGGGAGGACAAAGAAATAAACTAGTATGACTGGGGTGCAGCTCAGCGGTCGGGTGCTTGCCTAGCCCGCGCAAAGCCCTGGTTCCATCCCCAGAATCACAGAACGCATTAAATGACCACGATTTTAAAAAAAAAAAAGAATAATAAAATTGTGAAATGGAAAACAAACGAAGGGCTGTTAGCGTGAATCATGCCAGGGAGGAAGCACATTTCACAGAGGGGGTGAGGCCCCCCAGCCACCTGCCCGCCTGTGCTCACTGGTCTCCTGCTCTGCATCCATCTTGGCTTTGAGCAGCATCCGCAGCCGTGACACCTCCTGTCGCTTGAGCTCATCCAGCTTGGTGCGGACGTGGTGGCTGACGAAGTCCAGCTCTCGGCTCAGCTTCCCACTCTGCCAGGAGGGACACAGTCAGGCTGGGTGCCCAGAGACAGCGCAATGGACAGCCTCGTCCTCTGCTCTCTCTAGGGTCTAACCCTAACCGTCCCTGGTCACAGCTGGTCCCCAGAGCCCAGGGGACCAGGTCCCAGCCTTTCAGCCTGACATGAGGCCCTCACTACCTCTGAGACCGCAGCTCCCATCGCATATTAAACCATGTTTGGTTCCAGGAGCACTAACTGGGCATGGGCACCCACATTCACAAGGCTACTCTCCACCATAGGACCTTTGCACATGCCATCCCTGCTGCTGGGATACTCCTCCATCACCCCTACCTAAGCCTAACCAGATCCTCTCTGTCACTGTCCTTCAAAACCCAAGCACATGGCACCTCTCTCAGCTAAGGGTCCCCACGCTGTGCTGAGTACAGTGCTTCTCTGGGCTACCGCTGTCATCAAACTTGATCCTCAGCATCAGAGACGACCCTGCCCCTCTTTTGCTCACAGGACTCCGAAGTGCTCCCCATGACACTCAAGGCCCCAAAGTCTCCTGTCTAAGTCAGTCCCAAGGAGCCAACAGCATGGGGCTGGGGATGTGGCTCAAGCGGTAGCGCGCTCGCCTGGCATGCGTGCGGCCCGGGTTCGATCCTCAGCACCACGTACAAACAAAGATCTTGTGTCCGCCAAAAAACTAAAAAAAAATAAATAAATTCTCTCTCTCTCTCTCCCCCTCCCACTCCTCTCTCTTAAAAAAAAAAAAAAAAGGAGCCAACAGCAAATAGCTCAAGGCATATCTGAAACCACATCCGAAATTCCACACCACAGACATTCCCACTGGGACTCAACTTTACTCAGGGCCTCCTGTCCCCAAACACCCGCTCCCTTGTCAGCCTGGACAGAGTCCGTTTGGAGCTTCCCCAGGCCCTCTGTGATTGATCAGTCCCCTTGAGTCTYCAGTAGCGTACCTTGTGACTCATGTCCACAGCTGTTGCAGACACTGCAGGACAAGGTGACCACAGCAGCCCTCATAGCTACAGCAATCCGTTGTGCCTGCTATGTCCACCCTCTAACCCAAACCACAGCCCCACTTACAGATGTACAAACTGAGGCCCAGAAAGAGAAGCAACATGCCCAAGGCCCCTCAGATGGAAGGCCAGTTTCCAGCCTAATGACCGAATTGGAGTCAGGTCCCACAGGACCAGGAGTCCAGGAACGTGAGTTCAAATCCCAGCCCTGATGCAACCCCGCCCCCCCCACACACACACTGTGAGGCAGCACACCCTTCTCCCGGATCTCAAAACTGGGGCCGAGCTGGGCACCAGTGTGCATGCCTCAGGAGGCTGAGGCAGGAGGATGGTCAGTTCAAAACCAGCCTCAGCAGTTTAGTGAGGTCCTAAGCAACTCAGGAGACCCTGTCTCTAAATAAAATATGAAAAAGGACTGGGATGTGGCTCAGTGGTGAAGTGCTCCTGGGTTCAATCCCTGGTGCCGATAAACAAACAAGCAGATAAATAAACAACAACGAAATCCAAAAAAATTGGGGCCAAAATCACTGCCACCACAATGACAACTGGCATTTATGGCCAGGTCAGTACTTGTGGGGCTATCGCTGATTYACGTGGACTTTGCTCCTGCAGGGAAACTGTCGCGTAAGCCTGGCCATTTCCACAGAGGGAAACCAAGACAGAGATGTGGCCATCTGCCTGGGACAAGAAAAGGTGGGGTAGAGGTTGAACCTGGAAGAGAACCATTCAAGAACGTGACTGACTGGCCACTCTGACGTTACTTGGACTCAGGTGGCTTCCTGGGTCTGTTTCCTGGGGCTGGGCACTGGAAGGGCTGGGCTGAGTGATTGTCCCACATTAGGGTCCAACTGGATGGGGACAGAGGCAGTTCCGGGAGAGCCTGGAGGCTTCCGGGAGGACCAGGGCCCCTTCCCAATCTGCCTCAGTCCTTGGGACCCCTCCTGGGCCAAGGTGTCGGGACAACTCTGGGCTGAACACGTTCCAACGTGCGCTGGAATTGTGGGAGCTGGGACGGGGTCAGGCAGCTCCATCTTCCCACAGGGAACTTCTTGGGGCGGCCGCCTGGGGTGGGCTAGGGAGGGGCTGCTGTGGCGCTGGGCTCACCAGTCCAGGGGTGAACAAGCACTGCTACCAGGGCYTCAGTGTCCCCCTCTGGGAAATGGGGACAGACACGGCTCCTTTGGAGGCTGAAGAAGAGCATGGGCAAGAGAACCCAGCACCTCCGTTCTTGACTCCTTCCTCTGTAGAAGGCACCACGCTCAGCACTCCAAGGAGCCAACCCCAGGGGCACCTGCCCCTCTACGTCTCTCCTCCTCTCCCAGATAATCTGGCACCTCGAGGTGGCTTCCATCATTAGCCCCATTTTAYARGTGAAAAAACCGAGGGACAGGAAAGTGAGGTCCCGTACCGGGTCAATGGTAGAGACAAGACTGGAGGGCTGCCCATCGACCGCCGTTTTCCTCACACATTCCAGGGGTTCCCAGACCCTTCCCAGCTATGGTCCATGAGAAGYACCCCCTTTCTCCTTGAGTTTCACTGCCCAGAACCTGGGCAGAGCTGGAGCCCCACGGCCCCTGTGGGGCCCAGTGCTGCTCTACGAGCACAGACCCCTCGCCTCGTACCTTGATGTCCTCCGCATTGGCGGCCTGCAGCTTCTCCCGGAAGTGCCCATCTGTCTCTAGCACGTTGATGACCTCCTGTAGGTACCGATGGTAGTAGAGGCCCGTGTCCTGAGACAACAAGGTCAGCCATATCAGCCCAGTCTCTMCCCTCCCTGGTTCCTCCCCACAGACAGGAACTCAGCCCCACTCCAGAGTGGCCGCTGGGCAWCCCAGGGACCTGCCACACAGAGCATGAGGTGGACTTCACAGAATAAGGGCTCCGGGGCCAGCAGACCTGGGTTCCAACCCTCACCAGGTATGTAACCACAGGCCAGCTGCGTGACCCACTGGGCCACAGTCTTCACTCTTCCCAGGTCTGCAGTGGAGATGAATGGAAGTCATTCAGATGTGCACCYAGCCCAGCGGCAGCCTACAGAGCGGGTGTCTACAGGGATGTRTCTTTGTTGCAAAGCAATGAAACGTGCTATCGTTCATTCACCCACACCTTCATTCACTGATTCATTCATTCATTCATCCACTCACTCTTCAACAAGCGCTGACAGAGCCCTACCATGGGCCAGGCACTGGTCTAGGAGGGATGGCAAGTGACAAGACAGAGATTGCTGGCCTCCTGTCTTACCCCTGAGCCTCACTCTTTCTATTTATAAAAGGAACAATATAGTCTTCCCTCAGTATGGATGGTAGATTGGTTCCAGAACCCCAATACATATCAAACTCCACAATGCTCAAGTCCCTTACGTAAAAGGACAATTTGCATATGACCTACATGTACCTTCTTGTACCCACTATTTATGTATTTATTTTGCGGTGTGGGGGTGGAACCCAGGGGCTCATGCATAGAGGCCGCTCTACCACTCTGCTACATCCTCAGCCCACATTACTGAGGTATTAGCCTCTATTCTATTAGCCTTGGAATAAAAAAATAAATTCTCAGCTGGGTTCAGTGGTGCACACCCATAATCCCATCTAGAYGGAGGCAGGAGGATCACAAGTTCAAACCCATTCTGGGCAACTRGTCTCAAAATAAACAACAGAAAGTGTTGGAATGTAGTTCAGTGGTAGAGCAGCCCTGGGTTCAATCCTCAAAAAAGGTTCAATCCTTTAAAAAAAAAGAAGAAAAAGAAGAAATTCTCTACCATGGTCCACAAGATGCCACATGATCTGACCCTTGTGCCAGCCCACGGGTCTCCAGGTCCCTCAAAGCACTCTGCTCCCTCCCACCACACAGACTTTGCCCAGGCTGTTCCCTCCCCCCCATTCACTTCCTTTCTTGCCCTTGATCTAGCATTCTTCCCTCCCCCCCTCACCTATCCKGCCCTCCCGGATCATCACTCTATCACCTGGGGCCCTGCCCTCTGTCTTCTTCTATCTCTCAGTGAGTGGGGCTGGTCCCTGAGGGCAGGGGTCTTAAATAGCTGGTTCTAGTGACCAGCAGCTTCTGGTTCAGAGAAGATGCTCAAGAGAATGAACAAAGAAAAAGGGACTCAAAGGTGTCCTTCTCTGTTTGCAAAGACTTCACAGAACAGAGGCCTAACATGCTGGGCAAGGACCTGCCACACAAGAGTGTGATGTGAACCATCCCAAGATGCAATGACCTGTCCATTCTCAGGCCACACAAATCAGGGTGTTGGATCTTTAAAGTTCCAACTCTCCTAAGAGCAAAGGTTTCATGCTTAGGAGAGTTCCAACTCTCCTAAGAGCAAAGGTTTCATCCTTGAAAAACACCCGTTGGAATTAATAAGCAGTTTATATATGCCCTTTTTAATTTAAACCACACCTCCATGAGCTCCACAAAATAAGAAAACCCCAGCTAATTAGTATGGTATTGCTCGTGGAGCTATTGAGAAATACACTTCTTTCTCCTCAACCCCCAAATTCCTTCTTCGGTGGGGAGAGACGCTGACATTTTACTTAAAATCCGACTTGATTTCCATATCTCTAAGTCAGGGACGCCCAGTTTTTCACCAAGTCATATSCCCAGGTACTGCAAAAATGGCAGGTAAATGACAAGCCACAACCRTGCGGCATGGAGTCTCTGGAGCATTCACCCAGCGGGCAGGGGTCACAGGGGCTGTGCAGGCGGGCGCGGGGATTGTTACCACAGCAAACCTCTGGCCAGAGAGCAGGGCAGGGCTACTCACCGGGCTCTCGGTCGCGGGGCTCTCCTTCTCGGGCACCCCCCGCTCCAGGGGCACCGCCAGCACGGCACGCAGCAGCAGCAGCAGCGACGGCAGGAGGAAGAGGACTCCGTGGGGCCAAGTGGGAGGCATGGCGGCAGGGTCTGTGGAAAGGGAAGAGGAGCGGAGAGGTGGATCATCAATGAACGTCCCAAGCCGGCCTCTTCCCCGGATCCGGGAACGCAACCCCAGGGCGCCGCCCCCACCTCCAAGAAGCAAGAGATTCCGCTTCGTTACAGTGACCCAGGATACCAGGCCTCTAGTCTTCCCTTCCTCCAACACCGGAGTCCGGGTCCTCAGTCCCGGGAGTCCCGGCTCCCGGCACCCGCTCCTCTGACTCAGCTCCAGGATCTTGACCTCCGCCTCCCCCAGCCTCCTCTTTTCCCAGGATCTACAAGTACCAGCACTCGGCCCACCGACCTCCAGGACTCAGTGTTCGGGCCCAGTGGCCCACACCCTCCCCAGCAGCCCAAGCTGGAAGCCCCGACCCTCACCTCTCTCCACCGCAGAGGGCGTTTTCCCGGGCCCGGACCTCCGGCGCGTTTCTGGTGATTTCCCTCCCAGGGCACGCCCACTTTCCAGCAGAAAACCCGCCCTAGGAGCTGGATTGGTCCACGCTAGCTCCGGACTCCGGCGCCCTCGTCTAGAGGCCCCACCCCTGGCCGAAGCCGCGCCCCTATTCTGGAAAGTCTCAGCTCCTTCCTTACAAGCTCCGCCTCTTAACGCAATATTTCCTGCCTCGTAGGCCACCCGAGCGAAGACCTAAAAAGAGAACTACAAATCCCGGCAGGGCCAGGAGGAAAAAAAAGACATATATATGAGTCTACTTCCGCCGATATCTTGGCCTCACGGGAATTGTAGTTTTCCCCATTTCTGTTCGCCCACAAGGACTTGCAAATTCTAGCTCAGAAGCAATTGCACAGTTYCCCTGACAAGTTTCTTACAAGTGAGCTCTGTAGAGCGAGACTGTGAAGCGGCCCCTCTGGGGCCCTTTAAGAAACAGCTGTAGGTCGTTCCAATTCAGAATGCCTGGAGCAGGGTTGCCTGGCAGCAGAGGTGACCCTGGGTCATTGCTTTGTTGAAAGTGGAGCACGGGGGACCAGGGACCAGGAGGGCAGGAACTAAGGCAGGGCTTAGTGAGAATCCCCCTCACTCTCATCCCTTTTTCTTACCCTGCCTACTTCCCAGAGACTCAGAGGTTAGATCCCCAACTCCTCCAGAGAGGGTCAGATAGGTTTAAAGTGTGGCCACAGGGGGTGAGCACTGAGGCCTAAATGGGAACAGCTCCCCAAGCAGGAGGGAGGAGTGGGTGTCTCCAGGTTCTCAGGAAGGTGGACTCTGAGGGTCTGGGACCACGGGAGGTCAGCTGTTTGGGCCCAGAGCCTTGATGTGTGGGTGCAGGAAAGACTTAAGTACCTGGGGAGAAAGAACTGGGTTTCTGAGTTCCTGATGTTGATAAAGCTGGAATCAGACTACTGGGTCTCAGTCAGGGATGCTGCAATTTGGGCTGTCTAGGTCCAGGAGAGAAATTAAGGTTTTGGATTMGGTGTTGGAGGGCAGCCTCCATTGGGATGTTAGATCTGGGGCCTGACTTTGTGTCTTGCTTCTCCAGAATGTCTCGGGAGAATGACACTTGGAAAAAAGAGTGAGTGGGGACACTAAACGGGCAGTGGTGGGGTGGAGGTGAAAGTGGAAACTTAAAGCTTGATTGTGCCCCCTATACATTCTCTCTCGCTCTCTCTCGCTCTCTTGCTCTCGTTCTCTCTCTCAGCTTGGCCTCATAACCATGTTTAGAGGCTCAGTACCATCAGTCTTGCAGGAAGGGGCTGGGGACTTGGACTCCTGGGTCCCAGAGGGAGGGAGCTACTGGTGAAGACTCATGGGTCTGAAATAGGAGGGACAGGAACCTGGACTCCAGGGTCCTGAGACAACAAGGGTCTGGGATCTCTACTCCTGGATTCTAGATGGTCCGGTTCTGGGAAAAGGATCTTCAGAACCGGTGGAGCAGTGCCAGGTTCTGCACCTTCTGTGACCTCACATGTGCTCAGAACCCAAGTTGGGGAGGGCAGGATAGAAGGGAAGAGCTCTTGGGCAAGGGAGGTGCCCTGCTTGCTGTCACCACAGGCCTATATTTCTCTCAGGACCCTGGGGGATGAACTTGCTGCTCTACGGCTTCAGAAGCTGGAACAGCAGGTACCAATGCCCGGGAATCTTGCCACCCCTACTCTTCCATCTTCCAAACTTCCTCAGAAGCCCCATGCCCAACACTTGCTGGGCCCAGGATCACAGTGGTCTCTCTGAATCTCAAGTTTAGAGACTTCTGGGTCCCTGATAATGTGCCCAGGCCTACAGAACCCTTTTCTCCAGGAAATGAGAAAATAAGAATTCAGGAAGCAAACCCTGTTGATGAAACTCCTCAAATTTCTAAGGACCAAGAATTCCAGAGGGCAGGATAACTTACTAGGTCTTGAGGGAGGAGGTGGTTGGATGCTAAGATTTTTGGATTCGAGGGAGGAGTTGAAGGGTTGAGGGCCTGGGCACCTGGCACCCAGTGGAGAAGGGGGTTCATGGATTCTCCCACTGGGCTTCGCTTGGTCCTGTCTTGCTCCCACGCACCCCCCTCTCATGTACCTGCAGTGGCAACTGTTTGAGAAGAAGCAACGACGGAAACGCCAGGAGCCCCTCATGGTTCAGGCCAATCCTGATGCTTCCATGAGGCACCGGCGACTGCGGTGGCGAGAGGAGCACTTCCTGAGTGACACCGGTAAGGAAAGGCTCCAAGGGCTCCGTGGGGGAGTTGGTCTAGAGGGATTTTTGAGACCTGGACGAGGCTTAATGGGGTCCAGGGGTAGGGCCTGGTAGAACCTCTGGACAAAGCTCAGGAGAGCTGAGAACTGGCCGGTGAGACCGAGTGGGCAGGGAGGGCGTGATGCACCTGCAGAGGGGGCCAAGAGAATCAGGTGATGGGGCTTAGTCTGGAGAGTATGGATGGAGGGCTTCCAGGCTTGTGTTATTTATTTATTTATTTAGCAGTACTGGAGAATGAACCCAGGGTTTCGCCCTTGCCAGGTACGCACTGTGCCACTGAAGGACCTCCACCCGGGATTTGGGTAGAGAGGAAGAGAAACTAACTGTGAGGGTCCGGCATAGGATTGTTTAGGCATGGAGTCCATGACAAATAAGTAGCCCAGCTGTGCTTTTGCTTGAGCCTTGGGATGAAGTTAGAGTTCTCACGCCCTCTTAAGGGTTGGGGTGATCAGCGAATGGCCCGATGTCTAGGGAGACCAGTTAGGATGTAAATCTTCACTAAGGCCCATTTTAATGGGCCTCCCTGCACCTTCTCCCAGGCATTGGGAACCCTTTTCTCCAAGAGAATATGCCAGAGGCCCATCTGCGTTTGAGTGCTCACAGTGCCCCAGTTACCAGGAACTGTGGTGGAGATGGCGTTGGCGAGCACAGGCCCCTGGTGTCACTGGCAGAAGCAGGTACCCTCAAGTCCTCAGGCCACCTCGACTCCAGAGCTCTGCTCTCTGACCAACCCAGGAGGCGGAGACCCCGAGCCCGGCTCTTCAGGATCTCAACCCCCACCTCCCTCACACCCAGGGATCCAGGTCCTAACCCTCCTCCTTCATCACCCAAGGATCCATCCCCAGCTCCTCCTTCCCCAAAAATATCTTCAGAAATCCTGCTCTCCAGTCTTCCTTCCTCCCTGTCTTTGTTCCCAGACAGTTCCGATCCAGAGCTGGAGGAAGTCTTCGTGGAAGATTTTCCTGAATCCCTTCCATCCTATAGAGAAAGGCTTCTGGGAACTTGTCGCAGGGGTTGGCTAGCCCCACGACAGCCTGGTAATTTTAAGAATATGTTTGTAAAGTCTGGCTTTCAGGTCCATGGGGCAAATCATCCCCTTTATTTGATAACATTTTTAATGAATAATGATGTCATTCACTTACGTCAAGTTTACAATTCCACGGGTTTTAGTATATTCAGAGTTGTGCAACCATCACTACAATTTTGGAACATATTCATGACCCCAAAACAAAACCCTATACCCCTTAGCAGTCACTCTTCTTTTATTTCCCCTAAGACAATCCCTAATCTACTTTTTTTTTTTTTTTTTTTTTTTTTTTTTTTTTTTTTTTTTTTTTT